GTGGCAGGCCCAGCGCAGCGCAGATAAACATGATTGCCCCCCCCCCCCCCCCACGCAAGCCCCCCCCCGCCCCCCCCGCCCCCGCGGCCCCCAACCCTTCCGGCACCGACACTTTTCCGAGACTGAAAATTTGCAAAAATCCCTCGGTCTGCCACGTCTATAATTCGGACAAAAACCCCGCCCAACCCCCAATCCTTCTAAACCCTCCTTGCCGACACGAAAAAAAATGGCCTCCCATTCCAGTGACAGAGGAGTCCGACAATGTGTTCACACTGCCGGACTTCAGGGCCCAGCAGGCACGTTAGCCCATCGTCCTGCTGTCATACAGGGCCACACTCCCTGCGTTGGCCTCAAACCCCTTGCCGCGAGCTGTACCCGACCCATCTAACCCTGGGTCAGCGTACAGCCCCCGGCCCTCTGCCACACCCCCAGGCATTATCCCATCCAACGGGATAATTTACCCGGCCAACGGGCCTGCACACTCCTGCATTATCGTGTGGGCAGTCGTGTGTTGGTAGGGGTCACACCCTCCCTCCTTCAACCTCGGCCTCCCAGCCAAACCCTAAATCCTCACGGTACACCCTTCCAGACTCATGCCGAAATGGCACATTGCGAGCCCGAAAACGCCCTTTCAGACCCTTCCCAACGCCCAAATTGCACATTTCCCAGCCCGAAAACTGCGAAAACGCATCTGTCTGGTATAAATCCTCACAATAATAGCCCCCCCTCCCCAATATACAGCCATAATTTAGGGGTACTTATTATCGGGAGGTAGGGAAACAATTTAATAATATTGCTAGGCAGAGGGGATTCCATCCTTCCAGACATGTTACTGTTTTGAAGCCAAAATGGCAGACTCCGAGCCCGAAAACGCCCTTTCAAACCGTTCCCAACGCTCAAATTGCACATTTCCCAGCCCGAAAACTGCGAAAACGCATCTGTCTGGTATAAATCCTCACAATAATAGCCCCCCCTCCCCAATATACAGCCATAATTTAGGGGTACTTATTATCGGGAGGTAGGGAAACAATTTAATCATATTGCTAGGCGGAGGGGATTCCATCCTTCCAGACAGGTTACTGTTTTGAAGCCAAAATGCCGACTCCGAGCCCGAAAACGCCCTTTCAAACCGTTCCCAACGCTCAAATTGCACATTTCCCAGGCCGAAAACTGCGAAAACGCATCTGTCTGGCATAAATCCCCACGATAACCCTCCCCCCTCCCCAATATACAGCTATAATTGCGGGGTACTTATTACTTGAGCGGTAGGGTAGCTATTTAATATTCGGGATTCCGTCCTTCCAGACCTGTTTCAAGCCGAAATGGCACCTTCCAAGCACGAAAACGCCCTTTCAACCCTTTCCAACGCCCAAACTGCACATTTCCGAGCCCGAAAACTGCAAAAAGGCCTCTGCCTGGCGTAAATCCTCATGGTAGGCCTGTATTGCCACCGAAATGGCCCGTTCCCAGCCCCAAAAAGGCCCTTAACTTACCTTTGAAACGCTCAATTTGCAGATTTCATGGCCCGAAAACTGCAAAAACACCTCTGTCTGGCCAAATTGGAGCTTCCGAGTCGAAAGCGCCACACATTTCCAAGCCCGTACACTGCAAAAAGACCTTGTCTGGTAGTAAGAAGCCTTCCCCCATACGCCCCCTTCCAGAGCCTTTTGGACATTGAAATTGTATCTTCCAAGCCCGAAAAATGCCCTTCCGACGCGAAAATCGCACATTTCCAGGCCCGAAAACTGCAAAAACACATGTGTCTGGCGTGAATCCTCATGATACGTCCGTCCGAACCCATTTTGCACGTTCCGAGCACCGAAACGCCATTCCAGACCCATTTAACGTCGAAATTCCAATTCCAGAGAAAAAAACAACGCTGCACGGCACAAAACAGCAAGTTTGAGGACACACGCCCCCTGCACCCGACCCCCACGCGTAAACCCTAGACCCTGAACCCTAAGCCCTAGGCCGTCCCACAGCCTAAAATCCCAAACCCTGAACCCTAAAGCCTAAATAACCCTAAACACGAAACCCTATTAAAACCCTCTAAAACCCTACATTTTAAACCCCAGAACCCAAAACCCTCAACCCTAAACCCACAGACATGAACAGGAAACACAAAAAAGACATTGCTGGCAATGACATCACAGATTTCCTGGTGTGAAATTTGCAAAAGCCTGGTTGCTCGGCCTTCGAAGTAGGAGAGCAGAAAGAGGGATCCAGAGATCCGAGCCGGACCAGCGTTCGGACCATCGCGCTAGTCTTATTCAGATACTATGTCAGGTTAGACCTCGAGCCTCGGGCTACAGCAAGTCAAGACGTCGAAGGCCACAAGCTGCTGACTTCAAAGCGCAGTGTGGAAATCTGAGAAGCGTGCTTTCTCACTGAAGCCGTCGGTCTCGCTTCGCTTCTCTCGACCTTGGCAAAGCAACTTCCATGTCCATGTCATGCACAAGCGCGGGCGGCGGCGATGGGATCAACCAGGTCCCAGGCAAGCACTGCTCTGTCCTCGCGCGCGGAAGAGTACCGAGCATTCAATTGAATGCCAGGCACTCCTCCGTGCGCGAGGACAGAAACCGGCTGCAGAGGCAGCGCTGGGGTGGCAGGGCTGCCTGACGCTCCAGCGCTGGCCGCAATTTGACTCCTGCAAGCGCAATGGCATGGAACGGTCAAGTCCGAGAAGCTTGCTAGCTTTGCTGACACAATCCTGACTCGGTCCTGTGTAGGCAGAGGGGGACACCATCGCGATGGTATCGCGATGGTATCTCCCTCCACCTACGCCGTCCGCCTCACGCTGGCTCTGCTTTGAGTCCTGCAAGCGCAAATTAAGGGTTTGGGGTTGCAGTCAATCTGTAGGGTTTCAAATAAAATATTCAGGAAGGTGTTAGGTTTAGGGTTTTTCTTCAGTGTAGGGTTTACGTTTTTTTCTATCGCCTCCCTGCCTGTGCTGTGAATGGAGGGGTTGGTGTTTGGGGTTGAAGTTCTACGGTTTAGGTTCAGGGTGTGAGGCTTAAGGTTCGTCTAAGGAGGGTACACATCACAACCGCGTGAGAACATGCAAGGACGAGCCATCACAAACATGCAACAACACAGGCCTCGGACCAAGGACCCAACAAGGTTGCTCAAGTGGCCTCCCATGGTAGGGATCGACACACGGGGGCAACGCCATGATAGGGGGGGGCCAGCTGGCACGTTAGCCCATGTGTCCAGCTGTCATCAGCAAATGCCCACTGCTGGTTGGCCCCAACCCCCCCCTAGGCTCCGGGACCCACCGTGGCATCACCCGTCCCCACACCCGGCCATTGGTGTGTGAGCAGCTGCCAACCAGTGGGCATACAGCTGCTCATTGGTAGGGATAAGAACATGCAACAACAGAACAGCATCAAGCACATGAGCAACACGAAGGACCAAGGACCCAACAAGGTTGCTCAAGTGCCATCATCGGCCTTCTTCTGTTTAACCTTTCCATCCAAGTCCGCAAGGCATGACATCTTAGTTAGCACGCATCGGGCTCGCCGGATCAGTCTAGAAACACACCACGTGCTGCCAGAAGGCTGAGATGGTGGATCTTTCCCGGGCCCGGCAATGACGGTCTATCAACATGTCCATCCAAGTCCGCCAGGTACGGTGTCATCTTAGTTAGCACGCAGCGGGCTCGCCGGAGCAGTCAAGAAACACAGCACATGCTGCCAGAAGGCTGAGATGGTGGATCTTTTCCCGGCAATGACGGGCTATCAACGCTTTCGGCTCTCGCACTCGCACAAGGCAGGCTATCAACGGTTTAGGGTTTAGGGTTAGGGTTTCGGTTTAGGGTTTAGGAGGGTTTAGGGTTAAGTTGAGGTATGAGGGTCTAGGGTTTAGGGTTCATCTGCTCGAACTAGATAAAAGCGGCCTAGTCGTGGGCTCAGGAGTGGGGCTTTAAAAAACCTGCTTGAACAAAAATAACTAATCGTTCTTAGTCTTTTCAACCACAACCATTCCAAACACTTGCGGGAGTTGCAAACCCTAAAACCCTAAAAAACCCTAAAAAACCCTAAACCCTAAACCCCAAACCCTAAACCCTGACAGCTCCCAAATCGCAGATTTCCAAGGAACAAAACTGGTAACACCTAAACCAAGACCGACCCCAACCGTGCCCGAGCCTTCGGGCTGCTTCTGCGTCTGCAGCTGGCATCGACCTGCGTGGAAGGGAATCGATCTGCTCGCTCGTCAATGACTACTAGACTCTCTGAGCTGTGCCTCGGCCTCGTGCTGGAAGAGGTGCCAGCAGCACCAGCAGCAAAGGAACCGACGAGTTCCCGACGGACCCCATGATGTCGGAGCCACTGGCTCGGACGTCATCTGTCAGTCGGGAACTCGCACTTCCTTTGCCACTGGTGCAGGGGTTGACCTTGGCACAATCGGACCCTCGCCCTTGCGCACGAACATGGGGCACCGGTCCGAGTTCAAAGCTTCGGGCCTGGGAGCTGCGCAACGAGGATGATATTACTCTAAGCTTTCAACGACCATCTTCATTCGGCACCGGCCGGGGTTGGAAGCTTCGGGCCTGGCGAGCGGATTCGGACGCTGTCTATCGTCGGAAGAAGCGAACGTGAGGCACCGGCCGGTCTTCGGAGCTTAGGGCCTGGAAGCAGAGGGTCGCAACAAGGATGTGAGGAAACAGCTTAGGCTACTAGGCTTTCTGCGACGATGTTCTATCAGGCTCAGGACTCGGACAAAGGAATCGGAACTGACGCGCCAGCCGGAGTTCGAAGCTTCGGGCCTGGGAATGGATTCAAGCGCAAGAAGGCCAGGGATGTCATGGTTACGGGTCTTTCAGATTCAGATTCAGTCAGATTACATGGAGTCAACCGAACTTAACACTGCCACGTGCACTCTTTTTTGTCATCAATGTCGGCCCATTGTCGTTGTCAGTCTGCCTAGTAACTGGACGACGATGACTTTCGCTTGCGCTTCTTGTCGGCCTTGTCGGTCTTCTGAGAATTGTCGCTGACGGCCTTGTCGGCGGACTCGGGCGGGGCCTTCTTCTTGTCGACGGTCTTCCTCTCCTTCTGGACGGTCTTCTGGGCTGGTTCCCCTTTCTTCTCCTTGTCGACGGCCTGCTGGGCTGCTTCCTTGGCTTGTTTTGTCTTTGACATTGAATCTGAAGCTGACGCGGTCTCCTTTCTATCGTTCTTCTTGTCAACGGTCTGCCTCTCCTTTTCGTTCTTCTTGTCGACGGTCTTCCTCTCCTTGTCGACGCTCTTCTGGGCTGCTTCCCGTTCTTTCTTCTCCTTGTTGGCCGCCTTCTGGTCTGCTTCCTTCCGCTTAGCGTCGGCGGCCGTCTGCACCAAATTCATAACTTCCACCATAGAGGTCCTGGCTTTTGCAACGGCTGCGTCGGTCTTGACGGCCACGGCCTTTCTCGCTGCGTCGTCGGGCTTCGAGGGCTTGCCTGCACCTTTGCCCTTGCCCTTGCCGTCCTGGCCCTTGCCGTCCTGGCCGTCGTCCGGCGCACGATTCCATGGACGCGGCCCTGTACGCCACGGTAAATCCAACCTGCCATCCTCCTCGTCCTTCCTCTTGTTGTAGCCTTTCCACCAACCTCTCTGGAGTCCATCTGCGTAGCCCTTGTCGTGGCCATGCTTGTTGCCTTCGTCCCAGCCCAACTTGTAGCCGTCCTCTTTGCCTTTCTCAAGGCCACGCTGGTACCACATGTCAGGGTTCCTGCCCATTTCGGCCTGGACTTGGAGCTCCTCCAGTCCTTAATTAGGTCAAACATTGACCATGGAGGATAATACTACTGGGTAGTACAATATGACGAGTCGAGAAAAAATACCCAAAATGCGATCCAAGGAGCGGTCTGCTTTTGCTTTGTCGGCCTTCTTTTTCAGCCGTCTTTGATTGCGGGCCTGTTGGTCGCCAGTCTTCTTCTTCTTTTTCTTCTGTTGATCTTGCGCAACCGGCGCATGCCTCGGTTGCTGTGGTGGGTTCGATCCAGATCGCCGGGGGTTCAGCGGCATCTTGGGCTGAATCTTGCAGTGAGCTGCTTCCATCGGCCGTTCGGCCAGCTGTCGGCCTGCCCTGGATTATTATCGATCTGTCTAAACCGACCTCCTGGTTTCCCTGTTTTAAAGACTGGTGATTGTTTGACAGGTATTATTCTACTTGGTGGAAATCTTTTATGTGTGTGTATGGGCGCGATCAGTCTTTGAAAATCAAAATCGAGCAACCATTGAGCCGGAAGTCGGTCTCGCAAGCCAGGCAAAGTGCTTTGCGGATGTCATCGTCTTAAACGGCTGCACTCAGAACCCGGCTTTCGATCGACCGGGCCAGGCTTCAACTTGTCCAGCGCCGAGTCACTATCGAACCTGGGCCGGCCCAGGCTCAATGAGTTAAAACATGCAAACAACCATCCATTCCGACCAGCAAAGACAGCTTGAAGTCTGTAAGCCCCCAGCACACGGCAAAAACCATCCAGCGTACTCCTGTCACAGGGAAGCTTGCCTGTCTCACTCACCAGTAACCACTAACATAAAGTCGCAAGCGCCCTGTTCAGCTCGCGCGTCAAGTCGCTGCTCGGTCTTCAATTTGGGCGGCAAAACGGACCACGCAGGATCACGAAAACCAGAACCGTGCGGGGGGCTAAACCCTAAACCCGAAACCGTTTTTTTGAACGAGCTCTATCCAATCAGGCGGAAGCCACACCCAGGGGACATGTGCGGATATGGATCACCACACGTTCCACTTCTGGGTACGGCTTGAACCCCTAAACCCTTAAACCCTAAACCTAAACCCTAACTAATTGAATTTAAAACCCGAATGCATAAACTCTAAACCTGAACCCTAAACTTAAACCCTAGACACCGTAGTGAGCAGTGAACAACGTCATCATGAATCATCGGTCTCCCAATCCCACGTGGTCGACGGCCTATTCACATTCAGCCTCTCAGGCAGCTGGCTTCGATGGCGGCTGCTTCGCAGGAGGATTCGGCCTTTCCGTCTGGCGGTACCTGAGCTGAGTTCATGTGCACGCAGATAACAAACTCCAACACACTGCAGGCTGACTGAGGCTGAAACCATTAATAACTAATACTTGCTGCCCGGACACCAGGCGGGCCACCACCCCCAACCATAGGACCACTGCTCGTCGGTCCAAGCTCCATCGTCATCGTCCTCGTCGTCCTGGATAGTGTCGGCCGGCGGTCCTTCAGATTCACATCCGTGCATTTGATTCATTTAAACTTAATAAAACAAACTGAATTCCACGCGAGCCTGCCACCTTGGGTGGCGGTGGTTGGACGACGGGCACGGCGGGCGGCTTTGGCTTCACCTCCACCGTGGCGCCCTGCGCTGTGGGCTGTCCTTTGCCTTTGGGCTTGGCGGCGGGCTGTTCGGCCTTGGCAGCGGGCTGGGCTTCGGCCTCGGTGGCGGGCTGGGCTTCGGCCTGGGTGGCTTCGGGGGTGGCTTCGGCCTGGGTGGTTTCGGGGGTGGCTTCGGCCTGAGCGGCAGCCTTTTGAGCTGCTTCCATCTTGTCAAAGTCGGGCGGGGCCTTGCAGGCTGGCTTCTCGCCCGGAAACTCCGACGGCTGTCCGGGCTCGTTGTCACGCCCTTCCTCGTCCGGGTCGATCTCCTGGCTACAGGAATGCGGGAACACGCAGTTTGTGCTCTGTCACACTGATCAAGCACCGCGCCACAGTTCCCGTCCACCCAGCCTCGTCCTCATTTTCGTCGGACCCGGACTCCTCGGACTCGCCGCCCTCAGCCTCATCCTCGGCCTGGGCCTTTCTGTCCACCTTTCCACTCCACCCAAGTCCGCCGGGCATCGTCTTATCTTAGTCAGCACGAAGCAGCAAGTCTGTCACGCAGGGCAGGCCGGATCACAGAATTGAAAAGAATCGAACCAAGTGCTGCCAGAAGGCTGAGATGGTGGATCTTCTCGCGGCAGTGGGTTGCGATCAAGGCGGAGGGATTTTTGCGGTTCTTCTTGATCTTGTACCCACGTCGGTGGAACAGAACCTGGGTCACAGCAACCCCAAACGCTAAACCCTTTTGCATCCGGGATTGGGCAGTAACTTAACCCTAAACCCTAAACACTTATTAAACCCCAAACCCTCAACCCTTATTTATTAACCCTTAAACCCTATCATCTAAACCCTACACCGACCCTAAACCCGCACCCCTAAAACCGCCCTAAACCCTAACATTCTCAAACTGTCGTTTACAGGTCACAGTCTGGACAAGCAGCCTGTCGGACGAGCTTCGGCGTCACGGCATGCGCGAACGATGCCCCAAGCGGCGAGTGGTGCAGCAACGCGGAGATCGACTCAGATGACAGGTAGAATTGAAGTCACTCAAGGTTAATAGTCAGAAGTCTGTCTGACTTTGACGGACATTCCCCCCTTGCATGCCATCCCAGACACGCACCAGCTCAAATCATCGCACCGGAGCACCTGGCACAAATACTCCAGGTGGGGCGCCTTCTCGCCCACAGCGGTCTTGACCTGTCGCTGTTAAACTTTAAACCCTTAAATCGTAAACCCTGACACCCCAGACCCCCCCCCCCCCAAACCAGCACTGAAAGTCGTCGGCCTTGCTGAGGTCCCCATCTCCGACGGGCGAGTAGTACGCGGAGTTCATGTAGGCTTCACGTGCTTCTTCACCAAGTCGGGCTTGGGCCTCACGAGCAAATTATAGGCTTTAAGGTTTAGGCCTGAATTTGCGCACATTATTCAATCATCTGGGAGCGCCTGGGGGTCCCCGGCCAACACACCAAACGTAATGGCGAGCTTTTCCAGTCTTTTCCTTTCGGCCGCATCTGCTGGAACCCCACGACGAGTTGACATGGCTTTCGACCCAGCTGCCAATTCAATCAAGGCTGCTACGGTCCGGCTACTGTTTCAAAGCTGCTACGGTCTGAGCTGCTGCCACTTGACTTCAAGGCTGCCAACTGAGTACTAGTCTGTCACGTGGCTACTACTGTCAGTCACGTGTCATGGAACTGTCTGTCACTGTGACTTCGACACTTGAAGCCAGCCGGACGCTTGAACCTTCGTTCTGAGGCGATCGTGCGTGATGCGTGGCGCAGCAACACTGTCTCAGCCCGACCGCAATCTCAGGACGACAAGCAGTGTCAAGCAAAGTCACGGGCCTTGGAAGATCACATCGTGCAGCAGGGGTGACCGCGGTTCAAGGCCTTGGCTGCATGTCAACTAGCCTACTCGTGGGGCAACAACCAACGGCCAATGAACAGCCGTTCCTCGTCGATCAGACAGGATCTGGCGCCACTGCACGGACGTTGTGCCAGGCAGCGTCCTCTCAATGAGACCATCACGAACTAATAGTAATCTACAAAATTTCTGGAATCATCAGTCATGAAATTGCGAGTTTAAAACTCACAGCTCTGCCTCGGTCTTGAACGGGAGCAACAAGAACCACCAGGATGGAGGACCTTGGCATTACAGCGGCTAGTATGGACAGTTGTTATGTATCGAATCAACATGAAACAGGGTAAACAGGGTTTATATCTTGTACCCCCAAATGGACACCCCATATAATATACACTCACCACTACATTAAAGGAACCTTGTAGTTTACTAAATTTAATATAGACAATTTCGCCTTACTTAATAATATAATCAATGACGAGCGGCTTCGTCCTGCTGTGTGTCAGGCGTAGGCGTATGGTCGGGCCATGCATTTCCTTAGCTGCACACAGTCGCAATGGTCGGCCTACTCATTTTCGCCTTAAATACCAGTCAATGACGAGCGACGAGCGGCTTCGTCCTGCTGTGTGTCAGGCGTAGGCGTCGGGCCATGCATTTCCTTAGCTGCACACAGTCGCAATGGTCGGCCTACTCATTTTCGCCTTACTTAATACCATTCAATGACGAGCGGCTTCGTCCTGCTGTGTGTCAGGCGTAGGCGTATGGTCGGGCCATGCATTTCCTTAGCTGCACACAGTCGCAATGGTCGGCCTACTCATTTTCGCCTTAAATACCAGTCAATGACGAGCGGCTTCGTCCTGCTGTGTGTCAGGCGTAGGCGTCGGGCCATGCATTTCCTTAGCTGCACACAGTCGCAATGGTCGGCCTACTCATTTTCGCCTTACTTAAATACCATTCAATGACGAGCGGCTTCGTCCTGCTGTGTGTCAGGCGTAGGCGTATGGTCTGGCCATGCATTTCCTTAGCTGCACACAGTCGCAATGGTCGGCCTACTCATTTTCGCCTTACTTAAATACCATTCAATGACGAGCGGCTTCGTCCTGCTGTGTGTCAGGCGTAGGCGTATGGTCTGGCCGTGCATTTCCTTAGCTGCACACAGTCGCAATGGTCGGCCTACTCATTTTCGCCTTACTTAAATACTATTCAATGACGAGCGGCTTCGTCCTGCTGTGTGTCAGGCGTAGGCGTATGGTCGGGCCATGCATTTCCTTAGCTGCACACAGTCGCAATGGTCGGCCTACTCATGTACACGCAGACCTTAAAGAGCCTCATTATGGCTTAAGGTCCAGGTTTAGGGTTTCGGTCCGTTTACAGTCAAGCTGTCTCTGCCAACTTTAACTCAATCAGCTGACCCTGCGATGCACTCAAGGCCGAGCTGTCTATCTCTCTGACTGCAATACTTTGGTTGAATGCCCTTCGATCTCCTGTGTCCCTTTCGGCGTGACAGCAACCAGCTGACCACTGCCCGTCAACCCCTAAACCTATCTTAAAACTTATTGGACAGTCTT